ACACATAACATTTGATAGGAGAACGTGAATTCTTTCGTCGTAATGTAAATTGTTTTGTTCACGATTTGTTATCACAAAGCATTTTCGCAGAATATGTTATCAGCGCAATTCTCTGATAACATGCAACAACGTACTCTTTCCTTTCCTCATAAAAATCCCGAAGCATATTACCGATAAGATTTTGAATTATTTGACAATCGCAATACAATTGGCTGGATCACCAGATGAAGTGACAGCTTCACGAATTTTCTCGATTGGCATCAACATCCGAATTATTTTATGATCATCCTGTCCCTGATACAGCATTTCACCTTCGAAATCTACTAATTTGTATTTACGCGCTCGTAAAAGCATGCCGACCAACTGAAATATCTTTTTGAAGTTTTTATTGATAAATGAGAATATCAATTCGAGTCAAGTTGTTCTTAAATAATAAAACTCCGCGATAAATCGTTTAAAGCAGAATTTTCTCAGCCGTTCTTGAGAACAATATCAGCGATTCATTTGAAGCGTTTCGTTTGTGGTTTAAAAGTTTTATAAAACGAACAAATCGATTGAAAAACATCTCAGCGAATATGACCGCTGGATTCTCATTGCTCTCATCAATTTCGAGCTTGAATGTTCATTAGTCAACAGATATAAACGTTATGCACTTTACCTTATCTGAATAGTGTGCGTACGTGTAAAATAAGGGACCAAATTTGATGACTCTGTTCGGATGTTCGCCAGTTGCGTTAGCCTCGATTGTTTCACATAAGAAAAGCACCTCTCGGCTTACGTAGACGCCTTAAAACGATTCGATAGTGTCACTTTCATGAAATTGATTCAGCAGGATTGTATCAGTTGATTGACTGTGATTCATCGTACTATTTGGTTGATTATGATTCATTCTGATCAAAATGTGTGCAGTTGATAAAGATGGGTTGATAAAAGAGCACTCTGAACTGACCAGCTTTAATTCCTCGCGCCTCTGTTTTCGAACCATGTGTCGGTCGTCCGTAATCTTCAGCGTTTTTGTCATAATGTCGTATGGAATAAGTCTCTGAGAAGGGATTCCTAAATTCAGTACGTCTTTGTTATATTTACCATCATTGGAAGAAGTGACTCTTATAACACAAACGGACAAAATGATCAAAGATCAAAATGTCTTATGAAAAGATGGAAAAAAGCAAACGGTGAAAATAGTTAAGTGCGTAGATATTATAACTTTACATCAGGAGTGGTGTTTTCTATTCAATGATTGAGCAAGCTTACGAAGTGGCAAAGCTTGAGAATCATTGGAAAAGCTGTGCTAAGCGATCACTTACAGAAACATTCATTGGCAAAGTTAACAGCCACAAACTTATCAAGCTTCTCCCGATTGAGTTCCGCTACTTTATTGAACCTTTGAATCGTATCGCGAGCGCTACCTCTTCTGTTCACCGAATTCAACTCCCATCTTCTTGACATATCGTTACTGAAGAAAACGCACCCATTCATCACTGATTATATTCTTCATTTGCGTATATTTTTCAATAGTGTCCCATCGAAAGTGCATATTATTCCGCAACAGAACATTTTATTTGCCTAAACATCTTCACGACTGAACGATATTATCGTTCACGTTTTATCAGTGTATCATTGCATTTGATCTTCACTGATTAAAAAAAAAGAGCAAATGATTATGAACGAAGTGCCGACTTATTGATTTTGTCACCGTTTTGTGTGGTTGATTTACTGTTGAGTTTATCAATAGCATCTGTTGTCGAGCCACGTAACGCCGTAATCTGTCGAGAGCCGGATCTTGAAAATAGGACGCATTTCAGAGTTTATCTTCGCGAAAAATGGTTAGAGTTTCTTTGATTGAAGACGACTCATCGAGAATTTTCATAGTTTATTTCCTCGTTTTTTGTAACTTTTTCCGTACGAATTTCAGTATACCACTCCGGATCCCAGCATTCAGATAAAAGATTCTTCCCAGATAAAAGTTTTTGAATTTACCAGACGAAATTTTGCTCATCGTTTAGGGATAGTTGAATTCAAAAATAGAACGCACTCAGCAGAATCTTCTGCCTTGTACATATGCTTACTTATTGCTCACGGTTTCATCCTGATTCGGAAGAGTTGAGAACTTTGCAATCGCCTCACGAGCCGTACCCCGTTGACGGGCAGATATCATTGTTGTCGACCTAAAAACTTCGATAGAAATTCACTATATCAGACGAGGAACACAATATGCTTGCCGATAACGCTGCGAATATTCGAATGATAAGAAATTTAAAAGTGAAAAGTCTTCAACAATCAACCTCGACGATTAGCATTTAATTTTGAAGAAGTGGAACACGAAATGTGATTTTTATTTTCAAAAATATGGAGCAGCATTTTTTCTTGCGGCTGATGACTTATCTTCAAAGTGATATCAAATTCGCTATGAGTCAGTATGCTCGCAATGAAGTCATACAGAAGTTTTCA